GTCCACAACCACATAGTTTTGAAGTTGTGTTAACTCTTTAACTCCACAAGACGTACTTGTATGTCTTTTTAAAATTAGGCCCCATCTACCAAGGACATACTTGTACGTCTAAGTCTTTTTTTTGCGTCATAGAGAGGAGAAGCGTCTGATGCAATCGGTGAGTGAGAATAAGACATTTGCATTGTAAATCATGTAAGAAAGCGACCAGTAGGAGGCAGTGGTGCCTCACGTGCTTGAAATGCATGCTTTTACAAAAAGCTCTTTTTCTCCGTTTTTTTTTGCCCAGGAATCGCCATTTTCATGAAACTTAGCCATTTTGTAATGCTGATTGCTGAAGAATGGAAAAAGATAGAAACAATTTTTTTTCTGCTGAAAGAAGAGAGTCCAAACTTTATTTTGGTAGGCTCCATGTTTATATAGCATTAGAACCAAATATTCTGTGGGCCTTGCAAGATCAGTCAAAATCCAGTGAAATGCTGGGATTGAGGGGGTTGCTCCAGTGAAAATGGCTGGGATTGAATAAGTTTTAATTATCTTTGTGAAACAACTTTTGGGTCACATGTCAGAAATATATAAAATGTCAGCATCAAAATTCACCTCATATTGCTAAGCAGATTTACCGGGGCTCATAAATCCACAAGTTCCAACTCGGGCTGGGCAGTATTGCTAAAAAATAAAATCTATTTTGTCCGAAAATAAATTATTTGATGATTTTTCTTTTGTCCACCTCTATCTTTTTAAATAAAACAAAAACTAAAAATGACAGAAAACTTAAAATAATTTGTTATTTAGTCAAACAGTTAAGGAACCCTACTTTGCTCCTCGAATTGAAGTGCAAAACCTTTTGCCTTGAACCCCATTTGTGTGAGGTGCAGGACCTTCCTGAATGAAGTCTGTGCTTGTCATCCTCTCCAACTTTCTCCTGATTATCTCACGAGTACTGTTACATAAATAGGATAAGGCAACTTCAGCAATATACTTAAGATGAGGGAACACGCACCTGTGGTGTACCGTTTTCAATAAATTGAGAAACCTCGTCTCCTCCACTGTATATATGGCTGCCATATCTTGAGCACAGTGGTTCTTAACCTTGTTCGAGATACCGAACCCAACCAGTTCAGATGCACATTCACCAAACCTTCATTAGTGAAGAATAAAAATTTGATTCAAGAAGTGTTCCTTCAGTTTTGAGTTGCTCAACTTGGCATGACAAATCATGCAGATTTCCGTGATGCATGTGAATGAATCCATGTTGTAAAATATTCATCTGACTGTTTTTTTTTTTGCTCAACATAGTATGTATTAAAAAAAAATAATAATAAATAAATCAAAGGATGTACCATTTCGACAGTGACTCGTTGACAACTGAGCGGACTAAATTTCCCACAGCACTGATTGGACAAGCGATGTAATGTGATCATCTGCCGCAGGCGTGTCATAACTAATTGACATGTTGAGTCAGGTGTGTCTTAACCTCAAAGGCAAAGGCTCCGTTGAAACCCTGAGAGCGATTCCCCGAATCGATCGAACCCAGGTTGAGAACTACTGCTTTAGCGATGTGCAACGCTACCACTTCTGTGATCGCTCTCCAACACGTTCATTTCTGAGCATCGTATTATGGCCGGCTGTATGAAGGAATATGTGTGTTACAGCAGTGTCCCAAAGCATCCGTGAAGCAAATGTGTACACTACAGGATGTGACAACAAAATGGAAATGTTTTTTTCCTTTTTTTTTTTTTTTTTTTTTTTTTTTTTTTTTAATATTTTCATGTCACAATTAAACAAAATACATTAAATAAAGCATGAAAAAATAATTTCTTTCATATATTTGACAAAGTTAAAAGGGTGGCCCGGTAGTTGAGTGGTTAGCGCGTTGACCTCACAGTGCAGAGATGCAGGGTTCTATTCCGTCTCCGGCCTATCTGTGTGGATTTTGTTTCTCCGGGTACTTCCGTTTCCTCCCGCATTCCAAAACATGAATGGCAGGTTAATGGAACACTCTAAATTGTCTCTAGGTGTGAGTGTGAACGCGGTTGGCTGTTTGTCTCTGTTCCGCCCTCGCCGCGTCCCCGTTGCGGCTAGACAAA